GGCCGCCGCGGGAAGGGCCGGCCCCCATCCGCCCCCCACCCGCAGACCCCCGAGGTCAACAACAGGATGGTCCATGGGTCCCAGGGGAAGAGACATCACCCAGTAGGAGGGAGCACGGTCTAGACAGAGGCCACGAAGGCGGGAGGGGGCGACAGTGGACAGGAGAGTGGCTCAGCTGGCCAGGGCTGTCTAAGTGAGAGGAAAAGGGAGAGGGCGGTTGAGACCAGGCCCTGAATTCCGCGTTCGTCTTATCCTGAGGTCTGGGGGACCTGTTGAAGGACTGGGGCACGGGACGGACGTGGGCATCCTTCCATTTGGAACAGCCATTCCTGCAGCATCAGATCAGGATGGGGCGGAGACAAAGCGGGGAGCGGGCGAGACAAGTGGTGCTGTAAACCTGTGCGAGAAGGGGGCGGTGACTCTAAGGGCAGGAAGGAGCCCTGGTCACACACACACACTCCCACGCAAGGTAGGACGCGCTGGGCTCCTTCTGAGGCCAAGGGAAAAGGACAAGAGCCCTCCAAATTCCAACTGGGGTTAGACAGCATGGGGAGGAGACACACACACCCTGACAGCCAGAGCCGTTCGGGATTCTTTCTTGTCTTATTCAGGGTAATATTTTGTTGGGGAAAAAAATGCCTGCTGCAAAAAAAAAAAAAAAAAATATTATTGTCATTAATAATGATAAAAATCAAACTTTGATACCTTCGTTTTACGAATGGGGAAATTATTGCCCCCAAAAAGGCATGACCAAAGAGATGCGGTTAGTTAATGGCGGGAAAATTACTAGGGCCCCGTTTCTTGAGTCCTAATTCAGAGCCAAATTCTTTATATTCGAGCCAAGGTGTTCAGAGCTGGGAAGGCAGGAAATAGAGTGACTGTGTGGAACTGTCTCTTCTTTCCTCCAGAGCAGGGAGGGGGTGACAAATATTTGAAGAGGCTCTCCAGGTACAGGCGTTTCCCTAAATTTGAGTCAGCCTGTTTGTTTATCGCTGCCTCTAAAGCTTGCCTGCAGGGGCCGTTTTGAAAGTGCAGGTGTACCGAGAGGACAATGAAGGAGGTGGCAGAATGCAAGCTCCCTGCCCCAGAGCCAGGCCGCACCAGGGCTGGGTGCAGTGTGTTTCGTGGGAGCAGAAGGGAGCTCCCAGGGAAGATTGTCCTCCAGAAAAAAAAATTAACAAAAGGGAAAGTGGCAACCCAAGAGATTAGGCCAAAGAAAGAAACACCACTTTGAGTGCCGACTACTGGCCCAGAGGCTGGCAGAGCCAGTTCTGACTATTCAAGAGCTGGTTCCAATGGGATGAAACAATTCCACACTTTATCAAACAGATTTTGATGGGAGGCACCTGGTGTAAATGGGATTAGATTAATTCTGAGTGTCACGAGTCTCATGGGTCCAAATTAAGTCGATCTAACAGCTCTAGTAACTACTGGCCAGTTTAAACCATTTAGAATTGATTAAAAAAAAAAACCTACACAACTTTAGAATGTACTTAATGTCACTGAATTGTACACTTAAAAATGGTTAAAATGGAAATTTTATGTTATGTACATTTTACCATAATTTTAAAAAAGAAAACAAAACTAATAAGATTTGTTCAAAGATTTACTAATTCGTTTGAGACACGTATTTAGTGCCTTGGTGTGGCCTTGGTGCTAGGATTCAAAGATGAAAGGAAGAAAACTTTCCATTCCAAAAGAAACTCCACGTAAGGTGAAGAAGATGAAATACAGCCAGAAAACCATACCAGTAGGTGGTAGGTATATGCAGAAGTATTTAGGAGCTCATACAGGAGTGCCTGCCTCAGGACAGGGAATCTGGGATGTTGTGCTGAGCTGAATCTTAAACAATTGAGTGAGTTCATCGAATAAGGTCTGGGGCAAACAGGGCTTAGGAGCAAAGGGTGTGGTTTTGTTTTTTTGCTTTTTTATTTTTTAATTTTGAAATAATTTTAGACAAATTTCACAAATAGTACAAAGAACCCCCTTATATCCCCCACCCTCTTCCTCTAATGTTAACATCCTACATAACCCAAGTACGATTATTAGTGAGCAAACTTGATTCGACAGACCTAGGCTGGCTCCTCAGAAGTGATTCCAGTCCATTTCAACTTTGGTCAAATTGTTTTGACCATATTTTGCTTATATGTCACAGGAAAGTCTCTTTCTTTAAAGTCAAGATAATACTTGTTTTATTTGTTTATTTATTTTGAGAGAGGGTCTCACTCTGTCACTCAGGCTGGGGTGCAGTGGCACGATTGCAGCTCACTGCGGCCTCCATCTCCTGGGCTCAAGCAGTTCTCTCACTGCAGCCTCCCAAGTAGCTGAGACTACAGGCATGCACCACTACACTTGGTTATTTATTTATTTTTTTTCATTTTTTATTTTCAGTAGAAAGCAGGGCTCGCTGTGTTACCCAGGCTGGTCTCAAACTCCTGAGCTCAAGTGATCGTCCATTCTCAGCCTCCCAAAGTGCTGGGATTATAGGCATGAGCCACAGAGACCAGCCTATACTCATTTTAAACAAAGAGATATTTACATTATGTGTAAGCATCAGTGAATATTAAGTATGCTAAAACAGCAAGTTTTAATCTTTCAGTCCTGTTATATTTCTACTTTTATCCAAATGTGCTTCTTATGTATGAATCGGAGGAGCAGAATTTGATCCTTGCGTATAAAATATCTTACTGACCCTCACCGAAAGAGAGAGCCAAGAATAGGTGCTTCAGATCACAGTCAGAGGCTGACCTGTGCTTACCCAGGCTGGGGGCCTGCCTGGCATGTCAGTGTCATCTGTACACAGCATCTTGGAGGGTGGGTCACCCCTTTGCATATCTGATGTGATGAACTGCTCACTACCTCATAAACTAGCCCACATTGTTTTTAGAGGCTCTTTGTTAGAAAGTCCCTTGTAATTTTGACCTGAAACCTTTTGCCCTGTGATTATTATCCATTGGCCCTAGAGGCAGCTCCTAAATGGACAGACAAGAAACTGTCACGTGTCAGTTCTGTCTATGTAAGAGCTCTAGCTTACACCTGTTGTCCTATTATAATTATTAATTAATTATTAATAGTGTTCCCCTTCATTCTCTTGTCCTAGTTAAGGTGATAAATTATGCATATGACATCCTATAGAAGACTGTCACCGCCCCACCTCACTGATCAACTCTCTGGCTACAGCCACACCCACAGAACGTTCAGCCATTTCTCCTGTGGTTCCCAGCCTGCGCACAGCGTCTGCACATGGTGAGGCCTCCCAGATCTCTGAGGAACGAATGGCTCACTGCTGAGAGCAACTTCCTGGGACTTCAGGGCATGTGGAACTGGAATAAGAGCAACGTGTGAACAGATTACAGGAAGACAATGCGGGACAGCCGGACCCTTTGTGGGGAAATTTATGGGGAACACAGTCTTCTCACTTACAAGCACTGAGATTGCCTGAGAGGGGAGAGATGATGCAGAGTGTCCCAAATTTATCTGACCTGGAATCGTTTTTACCAGCGAAACATCTATTGGGCCTAGAGTTCTGAAAATTGCACTTGGAAAAACACTGCTCTCAGCTCCTACAAACACTCGTGTTTTCATCCTAACTGTGCTTCAGAGAATTGTGTCCCAGCAGGGAGGGAAACCCCTGTATAATTCCCTCCGCTGCTAGTATTTGGAGGTGGGATGAAAATGGACCTACATTCAAACCCCTAATTTCAGGCTCTGAAGGAGGTACCAGGATCCATTACGATGCTTGTAAAATTGTTCCTTTCATTTTCCTGGTTGTAAACTTATGTGGACTGTAAAGTCAAGGCAAGCCTGTGCCCAGCAAATAATAAGAAAATAAGGGATGCATGGTAAACAAAACAAAACACTTCGAGAGCTGGTCAACTTGCTGTTGTTTTGAGCTGTTTCTAAGAATCTCAGGGTAGATTCCCTCCCCTGCGTGCCTCCTTAACCCAGTCCTTTTTCTTCCTCCTCCAGGGACTCTGGAATACTGACCTACAGTCTGAGTTCCCGTGCCCTTGCCTGGGGCTGACTCTCTACTTGACCTGTAACCCACAACTGGGCAAGAGAAAATTCTGCAGCCACAGCTCTGAGGACATGAGCAAAATGGTTTCCAGATGGAATGTCAAGGATTCACATGAAGTGGCAGGGGGTCTTCAGGCCACACTTCAGGTTATCTCCTTCTCTTTCCCTTTTCTGCTTCACTCTTGCTCTCATCCTTTCTCGCCCCACATCTGGTCAGAGGAGATAGGAAGGTTCTTGTTACCTGGTACAAGACAACTTTTGGAATCCCAGATATTCAGATTATTTCCCCTTTTCCTCTTTGCAAATGATAATACTCACAGCCAAGAGGCATCACCCGGATCTGAGGCTGCTTCTCCTTAGGACTTGCAGAGAGAAGGAGAAGGTGGGGCTGGCAGCCTCCAGTCCACAGCCTTCCTTTCTCCTCCTGGCAATGATTAACTAGGCCTAGACAATGGAGATCTATGGCATATGCCCATGTGCCAGGGCCTCCTCCTCTCAAGCATGGCTGATCAGTCACTCGCCTGTCTATCCTTTATTTATTGAAGCCAACTATGAATGACTAAAGGAAGGATGAGAAAAGTCACCCAAGGTCAAAGGGGACAGTGTAGGAGAATGCTCTAGACAGAAGGAAGCACCTTTGCAAAGGCCCTGAGGAAGGCAGGGCACTCTGAAGGAGCAGAAGAGCTGTGTGGCCTCAAAATCCACAAAAGAGAGAGAAGGTGGGGAAGCAAAGCAAGGCGGGGTGGCCTGGGGTCTGACTGCACAGAGTCTACTGGGCCTGGTTAATCATCCCCTGATGGCCACAAAGGCATGGGCCTGTCCCATCAGAGCAGATACAGGACACTGGCTGGAGCAGGCCATGGAACCCACTGCTGTCCTGGAGGCCTTGGGGAGACCCAGGGTTCCCAGAGTGGAAGAAGGAGGGGGCAGCTTGACGTAGTGGCTGTTGATCAGCTGATATGGAAGTACATCGTTTTATTAACAATTAAGAAAGCAGTGCTGTGCAATTCTATTCAATGCCCGTGATGCTTTCGGCCGTTTTTATGAGTTGTGTCATTTTCAAATGAGCAAGAGGAAGCCTCTAAGGGGGTTTAAGCTGGGGCAGATGTAATCAGATCTGTGTTTTTCCAGAGGCAGAGAGGGGGGAAAAAAACCCATTTGTTATTTTTTTAAAAAGGTAATGCAAAAGCATCATTCCACAATTCTCTTGTAATGAAAAAAATAAATGCAAACTTAAGCAAATCCATCATTCTGAAAGAATGCCCTGTGTCCGCCTTTTCCTTCCTGGGAGACTCTCATAATGAGGTCCTGTCCTTCACCCACTGCTCACACTGCCGCCTGGTACCTCTTGTGACCAGGACTGCAAATCTCCAAGACAACTGGAGCAGGGTGGGAGAGCTCAGCCAGGAAGCAGTTTCTCTGTTTGAGGCTAATCAGCTTACATTGTGCTTGAAATTGCTGTCACCTTGGCCTTGTTGGCAATTTTCCTTCTTCAGCAAACCGGTTTTCTTGTTGAATGAATTAATTTTTATAAAATCTCAGAGATAGGGCATATTCAGTGAACACTGGCCAGATATGGCTTATGCATAAAACCAGGGCACTACAAATGACAAAGTCTCCAAGTTCATGGCTTTGCCTTGCCTCACTCGTCTTCATCCTGCCTCTCTTCAGCACACAGAGCACCTACTATGTGCCAGTTGTAATGGCTCGCCAGACAGTGCTGCCAGAGTGTTCCTGGGCCCCACATTCCGTTTTGTTTGTTTGTTTGTTTTTGTTTTTTAATGTTTCCTTTCACCACTCTGTGTGTGATGGCGGAAACTGTTGCTTCTGAGCAGCAGTTTGGTGTCATAAAAGAAAGCAGTCAGTCCCCCAACCACTACACTGCCATTACTCTCTGGCCATCCCATCGTAGAAGTCACCAACCTTTGAACTGCAGTCACCTCCCCTGTGGAATGGCAAGAACCTAATTATACCTGTTGGGAGAGTATTGAACAGGCTCACACCACCTCGTATAGCCCCTTCCAGTTCTCAAATCCACGAATCTCTCAGAAACTCTGCAACAGGAAAATTATGTGACTCGTTTTGGATCCATCTGGGAAAAGATGACATACTCAGAGAAGTATGTGACTTCTTTTTTAAAAATTTCAAGCTGCGTTTGGAATAGCTTCTTTTATTCCCTCTAATGCAGAGAATTACCATGCAGCTCTAGTGCCACATCATGGCTTACAGACAAAACTCTCCACGATCCCTGCCTTCAGTCATGAAGACATTGACAGAGCTGCTGTGTTTGTTGACTTGGGTAGGATGAGAGAACACCTGAGTGGGTGACCCTGAAATGGCTCTTCTAGTCCTCTGGTATTAGGTGTTTATCCAGAAGCGACAGGATCAGTGTTCAGGGCCAGCTTCTTCCTAAGTTCATCTTTCCCTATTTAAAATCTCAGAATTCTAGAGGTAGAAGAGAGTATTTTCTCTTTCGGTTTTTTGTTTGTTTGTTTGTTTTTGAGACAGTCTCACTCTGTCACCCAGGCTGGAAAGCAGTGGCACGATCTTGGCTCACTGGAACCTCCGCCTCTCGCATTCAAGAAATCCTCCTGCCTCAGCCTCCTGAGTAGCTGGGACTACAGGCACACGCCACCACACCCAGCTAGTTTTTGTATTTATTTAGTAGAGATGGAGTTTCACCATGCTGGCCAGGATGGTCTCCATTGCTTGACCTCATGATCCGCCTGCCTCAGCCTCCCAAAGTGCTGGGATTACAGGCCTGAGCCACCGCGCCCGGTCCTATTTTCTCTTATTCAGATAAAAAAACAAAGGCCTAGGGGAAAAAAATGAGTTGCAGACATTCACACCATGAGTATATTATCGATCAGAAATAAGAACCCATCTGATGGGCCTTGAGCTATTCCAGTGAGCCCCCTCCCCATTGTCCTGTCCCTCGGAAGTCCATGGGTGGAGAAAACCAAGGGCTTCAGGCTGTCAGAAATAGCCATGGAAACTACTTAGGACTTCTTGAATTCCAAATATCATACACATTAAAGCTAAGGATCTTCCCCGCTCAAAGCATATTTAATCTAACCAGGTTATTATTTTTCTTCTTTGGAGTTAAAATACAAGCCTTGTGGGTTCTCCCTCATGGGCTTGTCCCAAAGCTTAGCCCAGCAATGTGGACCCCAGTCTCTGCTACTATCGGTGCCACTTTCCAGAACTCAGCCTCTTGCCAGAACTCCTCTTCTATGAACCTCGGGTTTGTTCAGGGAGAGTTTCGAGGGCTGAGAAGCATTTCTTCTATAGTACTGGGACAGCTCCCACCTCCAGTTTCCCAGCAGCCTGAGCCCTACGGTGGCCACCTCATCTCTATGCCTCCATTGTAAAGAGCTGCACCTATCCGTGGAGGTGGAAGGCATCAGAGGAGGCAGAGGAGCCCTGCATTGTCTGCATGCTTCGGGCACAGGTTTCCTAGGAGGAGAGATGGAAGGTTGCAGGGTGGAATGGACAGAAAATGAAGCAGTGATTTGGGAAAAAATAATAGCAGCTGGTTTTCATCTGGGTACTAGCCTTGTGACCTTGAGCAGTGGCTTAACCTGCTGAGCCTGTTTCCTCATCTGCAGAGCAGGCTTGACACTCACTAACTGCTGACTTCTCTCAAGGGGGAAGATGGGGAGAGAACACTCTCGTGTCCTGTGTCTTCCCCGTTAACATCCTCAGTCAGAGAGAAGTTGGTCTGTTCTTGGTCTGTCCCTTTTGTCTGGCTAGCTATATTGCCATTCTTCTGTTGTCACGGGAACATTCCAAAGGATGAATGAAGGGTATGGGATCAAGCAGAGGCAAACATGAGCAAGAACAAGTGTGTAGATTAAGATACAAACTTCTCCTGACCCAGTCCTGTGAATAGAAAATACCACACAATGGGAAAGAAACCAAATCACCCTGACATGCGCTCAGATATTGTGGTGTAGGTCAAAGGGTGGGTCAAAAGGCTTGCTTTCTTTTTCTTTCCTTTCTTTTCTTTTTCCTTTTCTTCTCTTCTCTTCTTTCTTTTCTTTTGCTTTCTTTCTTTTCTTTTTCTTTCTTTTCTCCTTCCTTCCTTCCTTCTTCCTTTCCTTCTTTCTTTCCTTTCCTTCTTTCTTTCTTTTCTTTCCTTCTTTCTTTCTTTCCTTCTTTTAAAAACAGGTTGTTGCAAAAGGAAAGAAAACAGGAACACGTTGTTTCTTTTTGATTGATTAAGTCAATTGGACATATCAAACTTTTACTTGTGAGCATCTGAAGTTCCCTTGAAGCTAATAAGACCTTTCTTCTGGATAACATTTTCATGAAGACAACACATCAGGTTGTGAAAGGCACCTTGGTTTTAGAGTTAAACAAATGTGCACTTGGAGCCTTGCTCTGCTAACTTCCTGACTGTGTGACTTGGAAAAGTGACTTACTAGTCTGAGTTTTTCAACTCTCCTGTGGCTATAATGATTTTAGAGGGCATGGTTGTGGTAGTCATGACGGAAGTTCACCAATTCGCCTTCAGAGACGAGATTTCACTTCCCCTCCCTTTGAAGTTAAATGTGGCCATGTGACTTGCTGTGGCAAATGGAATGTGACTTCTTGTTTTAATTTTTTTTTTTTTAAGTTGGTAGTAGCCTTAAGACTCAATGTACAAATCATCGTGTCCCTTCCCACTGGTGCTAGGGTTGTGGAATGCTTGGATAGCCTGGGTCTGAAAGGACTGTGATCCACAAGCACCCGCACCATTCATTGAATGTACAGCATCAAATCTCCCACTGATATTTGAGTTTGCTACTGCAGCAAAACCTAGCATATCATGACTGATATAATGGTTGATACAATAAAATATGATGACATTTGTAAATACAACTTGGCAATGGTAAAGTGATCGGAAAGCCTTGTTGTTTTCATGTTCAGAGGTAATTGTGCTGATTAGTAGGCCCAACGTAAGGGATAAATATTCCTGCATGGGTCAGGCAGGCTGCAACTTTACCCCAGATCATTTTTCTCCACCAGGGGCCAGAATCAGGAAAATCTGAAAAACTCCCCAACAGATCTTCCATGGGACCCAAATATCAGTTCTGCCTTGAGATAAAGGCCAATCTGAGTACTGAAAGTGGGAGCTTAGGGAAATTCATCAGGCTCTGGGAGTGGAGAATATTGAGGAATGGTGGGGAGGCACAGTAGTGGGAGTGGTCTTGAAGAGCAGCCGTGGAGAACTGAGGCCTGTATCACGGTGGGAAGTCCTTGCAATGTGAAGGTTAAGCACACCGTGCACGAGGTCCCTGGCCCTCTTCTCTCACCATGATACATACCCTGTCCTCTCGTGATAATTTTCTCCTGTAGCCCTTCCACAACAATTTATTCCAAGTCATTCTTTATGCCACCCAAGTCTGACCTCTGACCCTCACCTCCAGGCTCCCACTTCCTGGATATTTTGGCAGGTGCTTCAAGCACAATATGTTATGGATAGAACATATCACTTCCTGTCCCACCTCCAAACCCTCTTTCTTATTCCATGGATGAAGAGCTATCATCTTCCCAATCATTCCAGCTCAACATCTCAAGAGTGCTCATGGCCTTGGAATACTCTTTTTTTCTCTATTAATATGAAAGGGGAAAATGCAAGCCAGAAAAACAGTTGAAGGCATTGTGCGGGCCAGGTGAGGTTGTGGTTCAATCTTGGTGTGAATTTGTTCTTTTGAGA